TGTTTTGGGGTAGAAGAAGTGAGGCTACTGAAAGCTGCAATATGTAACTTTTTGGCCAACCCAAATAGAAATTTGAGTTATAGATCTGTCATTCTCATTGAAAACAAGTATAAGAGGCGGTAGATCTATCCTATGAGCTCTATTTCTATGCTTCCCATTCTTAAGTTTCGTTTTTCAGTTTTGTACACCAGCTTCAAACTACTGAAAATACAATCTTTTTGGTTATTTTGGACCGTTAGTGGGTTTATGTTTTCAAATTAGCCACTATATAGCCTATGTTTATTTATCTGAATGTTTTTTGGATATTCTATTTTGCAATGTAAGGTGACACAATGTCTATTGTCTCCTCAACCCCCCTTGTCATAAATACATAGTGGACATATGTTATCCTTTAGAGTACCTATGCCTATACTGTATGTCTACATGCTATGGTGCAATGGTAATAACACAATAAGAACACCTTAAACAACAACAAAGCATCCTTCCCGCCCCTTCGTCTGTAAAAAGCTGAGAGAGTTGGGGCTGGAAAAATGTAGCCACTCTCAAAATTATAGACAGAGCTAAGCTTCTTCTTATTGGTGTCCTTTACTAGTGGTTTCTTTGCAGCAATTCGTACATCTCAATTGTCAGTAGAAACCACATTTGTTTAAGCAAGTCAGCCATATCAGCTATGTTTTATTAAAAGGCAGTAAATTAGGCTGAATTAACTGTTTAGCTGCCAGACAAGGCTCCACTTATAGCCAGGTGTAGCAGTGGAAAGGTGTTGGGACTGCTGTTGGGCCTCTGCTGTTGGGACAGCTTTATGTAGGCCCTAACAGTTTGTGGGCATCGTTTTTCAACGTTATAGTGCAATTAATGTATTGTTTAGTGTTGTGTTGCGTAGTGGCTTTGCTGGCATGCATTTTGATTTGTTTGTTTGCCCCACCAAGATTTACATGCTGAAATTGCCACTGGTAATGATCATGCTGTTTAATCAGCTTCTTGATATGCCACACCTGTCAGGAGAATAGATTATCTTGGCAAAGGAGGAATGCTCACGAACAGGGATGTAAAGAAATTAGTGCACAAAATTTGAGAGAAATGAGCTTTTTGTGCGTATGGGACATTTCTGGGATCTTTTATTTCAGCTCATGAAACATGGGACCAACACTTTACATGTTGCATTTATATTTTTATTTAGTATATATAACTGACGACAGATAATTTTCTCCTAAACGTCCACTGAGCGGAGCAGACACACCACTCAAATGTGTGCAGACTCGTTACAACTTCAGCTTTAAGCACAAAATGATTTCGTCCATCGATGACCAAGAGAAAGTGTCTATATCACAGTATATCACAGCGAGATGAAACCACAACTCCATCGTTCAGAGGAAGAGCAATTCAATTATTTGTCTGAATAGGCCAGAACATTTGACATGCCACTCCCTATGGAAATGTGGGGTCTGAAACCTGACTCTTCAAGTCAGCTCCACTGAGAGAGTGGGAGAGGAAAGCAGACAGATGGGGCATTTTGGCATTATAAGGCACTCGACCCTGCAATGTTCACAGAGCACATTGAACAGCAAAATGTCAGGCAAAGCTGGTCTAGAACTGCTTAAAGTCCCCCAGATATAAGACTTAACATTGAAGAGGTTTTAAGAAACAACGTTCTTCTGTGGGAATTTCAGTATTTCCACAGAACATTCCACAGAAGTTCTTTATGTGGTTCTACTTAATGTCATATTTTTACCACATTCTGGGAACATCCTAAAAAATGGTGTGACTTAAGCAATGTTCTCAGAACGTTCAGAAATGTATGGTTCTCTTTTATGTTAGTTCTTGGCAATATTCTGGGAATATAAAAAATAAACAGTGTGTACACATTTAACATAAATAAGCTCTAAACTCCATTTTCAGAACATGAAGAAAACGTTCCATAAAAACCTCAAGAAAATGTTAGTTACGTTTAGAGAACTTTCTAATAATGTTATTTAAAAACAAATACAGTACATTTCCTTCTCAACATCAACAAAACTCTCTCTATCCTCTCTTGTTAAGTGTGTTCAGGTGTGTTGGCCACACCCACTAATTTGCCTTTAAAATGGGGTCTGTTTGAATAGACTAAAATGAACAGGTTTGTATGCGTAAAAATAACATGGCCTGCTAGCTAGCTCCATCCTGGTGACGCAGTGTACTAATTTCGTGGATAGAGAACAGAAGAGTATAGGTTTGAATCTTCCTTATGCAGAGTCACAATAAAAAATAAATGAATTTGCATGATTAATGCGTAAGGAAATACATTTCCATGTGTCCTATCTGTGCTTGGAGTTAACAAAACAGTTACCCCCAAAATAAGCTGTGTTATTAAAAGTCTTATTGAAACATTCAATGAACGTTTTAAGGAAGTTATTCAAAAACTTTAAAATAACAAATCATTTCCTTTCTCAGGAAGACTTTCAAAGAACCAGAGTAACCAGAGTAAAACATTCTCACAACCTCCCAGAAACCTAAAAATAAACATTCCCAGAACAGACAAAATGTTCACTTCTGTTCACTTCTGTTTAAAAAAAGATGATGTTTTACAGGTCAGGAAACTTATGGCTTCGTTCCCACAACCAATGTGAAACCAAAAATATACAGTACGTTCCCACAACTTCCAAGTAAGTTGTGAAAGGGGTTGGGGAGACTTTCAAACAGAAAAAAACACTAGGAAACAAACTAACAAAAACCCAGCACCAATCCAAATCAAAGGGAGGGTACTACACTGAAAATGGTTTAAGATCATGTTGTCCGCCAGTGCAATACCTTCACCTAGTAGTCTGGTTAGTGCACTACACAGTGTGTGACATTTGCCCAATCCCATATCAACCCATAGGCTAGCCCCTATATCTCTATACGCTCTTAGAGAGCTGAGAGGTTAGGTGTACACAATATTATAACAGCCTCATTCTGCTCTCTGATAGGCTAGGTGGAACCTTTACCATAATGCTTAGCCTTACACCTACAGTATCTTCTAAGATCTCTGCAAGTGCAAAGGGGCTAGGGGTTGATTTGGGTTGGGTATCAATGAGTGAGCTCTTCCAGGTGGAATTCCTCAGGTAGTATTCTCAATATCAGTTCACTGGGACAATGACCTAAGAATGGGCGGCAGGTAGCTTAGTGGTTAAGAGCGTTGTGCCAGTAACCGAAAGGTCGCTGGTTCTAATCCCCGAGCCGACTAGGTGAAAAATCTGCCGATGTGACCTTGAGCAAGGCACTTAACCCTAATTGCTCCTGTAAGTCGCTCTGGATAAGAGCGTCTGCTAAATGACTAATTATTTATAAGTAGGCGCTAGGACTGTTTTGGTTTTAGAAAACAACATAACATGCAGTTTTCCATAGTGTTTCTGTGAGCAATTCAAAACCATACTGTCGACAGTCACATGACTACACCTCAAGACAATGTAATAAAGAAAGGGAGTGGACAGATGGGAGTGGAGAAACTGTTCTGAGTTCATTCTCTCCTGCAAAGTAGTGTGATATGTCAGCTGGTCATGAATCTGTAGGATCATCAGAGGATTCCAAAGCCACAGAGTTTTGATGTTGCAACATCTGAAAATGTATGTTACCACAACCTGAAATTGAAGGAGAGGGATCATGCATTCAGGTAGATAACAATTTCACCATGAAACGACTACTTTTCTTTTAAACATGTTGTATCTCTCTAATTTACATTTAGAGATATGGACTGTCATTTCTCTATGCTTATTTGAGCTGTTCTTTCCATAATATGGACTTCGTCTTTTACCAAATAGGGCTTTCTGTATACCACCCCTACCTTTTCACAACACAAATGATTGGCTCAAACACATTAAGAAGGAAAGAAATTCCACAAATTAAGTTTTAACAAGGCACACCTGTTAATTGAAATGCATTCCAGTTGACTACCTCATGAAGCTGGTTGAGAGAATGCCAAGAGTGTGCAAAGCTGTCATCAAGGCAAAGGGTGGCTACTTTGAAGAATCTCAAATATAACATATATTTTGATTTGTTTAACAGTTTTGTGGTTACTACATGATTCCATATGTGTTATTTCATAGTTTTGATGTCTTCACTATTATTCTACAATGTAGAAAATAGTACAAATAAAGAAAAACCCTTGAATGAGTAGTTGTGTCTAAACTTTTGACAGGTACTGTATATAAAGTAGAAACTTGCCATTGTAGGATTATAATAATTCCCTTGAAAGGTTTGTCAGCAATTACTCAATAATTCTTCCAAGCAGGATCAGTCAAGGCTATATATATTTCTCTACAATATTACATTTAATGTCATTTAGCAGACGCCCTTATCCAGAGCGACTTACAGTTAGTGAATACATCTTTTTTTTTTTATATACTGGCCCCCCGTGGGAATCGAACCCACAACCCTGGCATTGCAAACGCCATGCTCTATCAACTGAGCTACATCCCTGCCGGCCATTCCCTCCCCTCCCTCCCCGACGCTGGGCCAATTGTGCGCCGCCCATGAGTCTCCTGGTCGCTGCCGGCTGCGACAGAGCCTGGTTTCGAACCAGGATCTCTAGTGGCACAGTTAGCACTGCGATGCAGTGCCTTAGACCACTGCGCCACTCAGGAATACAGTATCTTCAATTGTGTATTTTTGTGTATTGTGTATTTTTTGTAATTGTCCCTTTGCAAGATACAGTAGCAGTAGTACACTTTAATGACACTGTCACAAGTTCTGAACTGAAGGTCCAAAGTTCAGCCTCAAATGTCATTCATGTCTGTACTGTGTATACCTTTGTGCCTTTGCTGCACATTGGCTGGATGAATATGTTGAATTGGCTGACTAAGGTTTGATCTTTGAGACAGAAGGTTGGATTGGATTAATGACCAAACTACAGGGTCACAAACGTTCAGGAGGGTGCAATGTAATGAATGTTGTAGATAGAAATTCCATTAATAGAGCTAACATTTTTATTTAAAACTACTCCTTACTCCAGCATACCCTGTTATGATGAGAATGTCTTCACACTGATGCCTTCCACCTTTAACACAGGTGTGTCTCTGAGGGTGATGCTACTGGCAGCTCTCACTGTTCACATCACAGATCAAAGTCCTGGTAAGTATATGCTATTAGTTATCTGCAAAATATCCTATTTGCTCCACAAATCTGTCTCTTGTCTCAAATAAATAAACAAATAATATTCTCCTTCAATTTCCCTGAGTGAGAAAACATGTATTATTCAGTTTCTTTCTATCTTACTCTCTCTGTTAATCTCTCCCTTTCACCACAGCAGTCTTCTCCTTGACTGTCCCTGATGGTCCAATCTTGACCCAGTTAAACGCCTCTGTCTCTCTACCTTGTGAACTCTCACCTCTCTTCAATGCGGAGCCATTGGAGGTGCGCTGGTATCGGTCCAGTGATTTCAACAAACCTGCCTTGTTGTACAAAGATCACAAGATCCAGGAGACGTCTGTGGACCCCCGGTACAGGGGCAGGGTGTCTCTAACTGGGGGGCTGGAGAGAGGGAATGTGTCCCTGAGACTGGAGAGGGTCACTCTAGAAGACAGGGGGGAGTATGTGTGCTATGTTAGCAGTGAACAGTGGTACGAAAAAGCCACTGTGTCTCTCACAGTGACTGGTAAGGGACACATAACTAGTTTTACTTACACGGATAGTTCACCCAAATTACAAAATGACATATTGGTTTAACATGGGAGGACATTTTATGTCTGCCCACCGAACTGCAATGCCCTTCAAAATACTGTAATACTCACAATATTGTGGCAGAAATGATCTTGTATCTTTTGTTTTATGATAATTCACAGGAAAATGTGATGCATGAGATACGCTAATCTATTCCAATAATATATGATCATAGCTTGTCCTCACCTCCCCTTTCATCTGTTCATTAGTAATAGGTAGTGCCCCAGTTCTCTCTGTAGCTGAAACAAGAGGAGGAAGTCAGGTGAACATTACCTGTTCATCAGAGGGCTGGTCACCACAACCTACACTCACCTGGAGAAACAAAGAGGGGACAGAGATCAGAAATGCACAAGTACTCAACACCCCTGGTAATTACTTTTAGAATCACTACACATGCCAAATCAGTCTGAAGAACGCTATCTACGACTGTGTGTATGTTTGTGTATGTGTGTGTGCCTGTATCTGTGAATGTGTATCTTTCCCATATAATAAATTATTTCGTATATATATGCCTCTCTTTCTGTTTCAGGTCCTCAGGGCTTGGTGAGTGTCAGTAGTTGGCTTCTGTATTCTCCCTCAGACTCCGATTGGCTCTCCTGTACAGTCTCTCTGTCTGAGGAGGTGAAGAAGGAGAGTAGAATCCTGCCCAGAGCTCCAATGGAAGGTGAATGTCTCAGAAATGGTTATCAATACCTTAACATTTAATATCTCAATGTTGAACTCTTTCAGACAGTTTATTCAATGTAGCATCTTATGTAAATTCATGTTCAAATGTACTTTTATCTAGCCTGGCTGACAGAGTCAGTGCTTTTGCCAGATTAACTTGTACCCACATAGCAGTATACAAATCAAATGTATACAAATGTATACATGTGATGTGTCATATGTGTGGTACATCCGCTGTTTGACTTGTGTGTACAGGGCCCGAATCTATTTAACGGCACATTTATAAATGTCCTCATACAGGTCACCAAAATGTAGGAGGGGCTAGGTTACAAAGCACCAAAAGGTTTTGTTGAAAGTGATCTACCAAAGGACAGCATCAGAAATGTTTTTTACTTTTTTTGTTTACTTCCAAGTCCAAGTATGACCTACTACTACTATTATTATAATGAATTGCAATCCCACCTCCACATTTAATCAATGTTTCTAAATGAGATTGTATTGATATTTACAAGGTTATTGATTTCTTTAAATCAGTAAACCCCACTTATAAGAATAACCTACAACACATGTAATAAACACATAGAACATGAATTAGCTGAATGTCCCTTAGCACCTGTGTTATTCATAATATACCATGGGTTTAGGGTCCTTTACTATCTTTTTAACATTTAGCTATTGAATAATTTCATGCCAATTCATAAACCAATTCAATGTTGAATTGCTGTTACTCTCAACTGAAGATGTACAGTGCCTTGCATACTTAGAAAAGTTTAAGGGGGTGAATACTTATGCAAGGGACTGTATGTTCTCTTAAAGTTTAAGTGGTTTATCCATCCTTTCTACAGGACATTGGAGCCTTGGTGCCTTCATCACATTACTGGTCATCAATCTACTAGTCATCTTTACTCTAATTGGACTCTTCATCTGGAACAAAAAAACTGGTACAGTGGGGAAAAAAAGTATTTAGTCAGCCACCAATTGTGCAAGTTCTCCCACTTAAAAAGATGAGAGAGGCCTGTAATTTTCATCATAGGTACACGTCAACTATGACAGACAAAATGAGAAAAACTATTCCAGAAAATCACATTGTAGCATATGTAATGAATTTATTTGCAAATTATGGTGGAAAATAAGTATTTGGTCAATAACAAAAGTTTCTCAATAATTTGTTATATACCCTTTGATGGCAATGACACAGGTCAAACATTTTCTGTAAGTCTTCACAAGGTTTTCACACACTGTTGCTGGTATTTTGGCCCATTCCTCCATGCAGATCTCCTCTAGAGCAGTGATGTTTTGGGGCTGTCGCTGGGCAACACGGACTTTCAACTCCCTCCAAAGATTTTCTATGGGGTTGAGATCTGGATACTGGCTAGGCCACTCCAGGACCTTGAAATGCTTCTTACGAAGCCACTCCTTCGTTGCCCGGGCTTTGTGTTTGGGATCATTGTCATGCTGAAAGACCCAGCCACGTTTCATCTTCAATGCCCTTGCTGATGGAAGGAGGTTTTCACTCAAAATCTCACGATACATGGCCCCATTCATTCTTTCCTTTACACGGATCAGTCGTCCTGGTCCCTTTGCAGAAAAACAGCCCCAAAGCATGATGTTTCCATCCCCATGCTTCACAGTAGGTATGGTGTTCTTTGGATGCAACTCAGCATTCTTTGTCCTCCAAACACGACGAGTTGAGTTTTTACCAAAAAGTTATATTTTGGTTTCATCTGACCATATGACATTCTCCCAATCCTCTTCTGGATCATCCAAATGCACTCTAGCAAACTTCAGACGGGCCTGGACGTGTACTGGCTTAAGCAGGGGGACACGTCTGGCACTGCAGGATTTAAGTCCCTGGCGGCGTAGTGTGTTACTGATAGTAGGCTTTGTTACTTTGGTCCCAGCTCTCTGCAGGTCATTCACTAGGTCCCCCCGTGTGGTTCTGGGATTTTTGCTCACCGTTCTTGTGATCATTTTGACCCCACGGGGTGAGATCTTGCGTGGAGCCCCAGATCGAGGGAGATTATCAGTGGTCTTGTATGTCTTCCATTTCCTAATAATTGCTCCCACAGTTGATTTCTTCAAACCAAGCTGCTTACCTATTGCAGATTCAGTCTTCCCAGCCTGGTGCAGGTCTACAATTTTGTTTCTGGTGTCCTTTGACAGCTCTTTGGTCTTGGCCATAGTGGAGTTTGGAGTGTGACTGTTTGAGGTTGTGGACAGGTGTCTTTTATACTGATAACAAGTTCAAACAGGTGCCATTAATACAGGTAACGAGTGGAGGACAGAGGAGCCTCTTAAAGAAGAAGTTACAGGTCTGTGAGAGCCAGAAATCTTGCTTGTTTGTAGGTGACCAAATACTTATTTTCCACCATAATTTGCAAATAAAATCATAAAAAAATCCTACAATGTGATTTTCTGGATTTCTTTTTCTCAATTTGTCTGTCATAGTTGACGTGTACCTATGATGAAAATTACAGGCCTCTCTCATCTTTTTAAGTGGGAGAACTTGCACAATTGGTGGCTGACTAAATACTTTTTTCCCCCACTGTATATTAACAAGATGGTATTATTCAATTCCATGGCCAAGTCATCTCAAATTATCTTCAAAACCATGTCATTGAGCTACACAATCTCTTTCATCAGGGATGATTTGGGTATGAAATTGAAAGAATTCAATTGTATTCAATTGCACAATTGCCCTTTCACATTCATTGATTGTTAGCTAGCAGTGGCTAAAGTTAGCTGAAATTTGTAGTGGCTGTTTAAAGAAAACTGAACCATGGATTACAGTTTCTCCAGGCACATAGACCATTTTCAGGGTGATGAACCATCTCACATCAAGCTGGAAAATACTGAGCTTCCCCAATACCAATACTCAAAATTAGGAACTAGGCCTATGCATATTTCAGAGTACACATATAAGGAGACATTTTGTACTCCCAATAATCCAGCCATGAAAAATCCAGCTATGATAGTAATTAGTGATAGGAGAAGTCATAAACATAAAGTGTGAATGATAGTATTTGCTCTTGGCATTTAGGTTCTGCTTTTCAGGGTGCTCCTAGCCCAAGGAAAACTCTCAGCTAATTTCCCTGATCATAGCTAAGATATATGAGTAAGAAGCAGAGTATATACAATTCCCCCAAATATACAGAATCATACACCAAGATGAATTAACGATGTACAGCAAAGTACCCACTGCTTTTTGAGATCACTCAGGATGACTATACATGTTTTCACATTTATATTTTTGTCTGTTTTTATTATAATTTCATCCACAAATGTTGCGTTTGAACATTTCAAATACTAGTGTAGGGATCAAGCATTCACTCCCATCTCTATAGTTTACATGATATTATTTGGTTTATTTGACAATATCTCATTTTTCTCCTTCTCACAGGGTTGTCAACATCAGAGAAAAATGAAAATGCAGAGGGTACTGTGTGTTGTCTATTCATGTAGAGATAGTTATGTCTAACAACACTGAAAACATGAGAACACTGTTTAATTACATACAGTATCTTGATATTCGTGTGTCATTGGATTTCAGATAAAACAGAGTCTAATGAGAGGAGAGCAGGTATGAATGAATGTTTTCCCCTGTCTATTTGCTGTATTTCTACACATCATAATAACATAACTTTCATGACATTTTTTTTTCTTCTTTGTCTTCATTAAATAGAAGAGGCAATTCTTCTGGAAGGTAAATAGAGTTGCAATTAATTTCTAGTAAACCTTGAAAAGGTAACTACATTTGCCAATAATTACATTTTATGAATAATCTATCATCTGTTTCACTCTGGGCAGAAGATGTAAAGAAAACCTATATGGAAAGAACAACACAGACAGAATCTGTCCTGAAAGGTAAATAATTTTTTACAAAATGTATTTTTCTTTCAGTCTTTTGAAAATGTACTAATCAAACACACTTGAACAATAGTTCACAGTTGTTTAGTACCATTAATTAAACAACACTCTCAGGAAGAAAATAATGGTACATCCCAATAAAATTTATATTTTTCACTCTGGGCAGAAAGTGCTAAGCAAACTGATATGGAAACAACTGCACTGAGAGAATCAGTCCCAAAACGTAAATTTAAAATCTTTATTAAATCTTTACAAACCTTAAATTAATTAAAGTAGTATTATTAATGTAATTATAATTATATAATATTGTGATGATGTTGATGTTAATTTTAGTGATTTAGCAGACACTCTTATTCAGAGCGACTTACAATTAGTGCATTCATCTTAAGATGGCTAGGTTAGACAACAACATATCACAATTGTACCAAGTGCATTTTCCCTCAACAAAGTATTTATCAGCAAAGTCAGAGCTAATAGGAAAAGACAAGTCTTTCACCTTACATACACAATCATTCAGGTTTGTTTATTTATTACCATATATTGCACAAAACTCTAAAAACAACAAGATGATGCTTCCATATTCCTTTTTTCTCTGATAATAAGATGATTAGACCTCGTACCCCTGAACATTGACTCGGTACACGTACCCCGTGTACAATACAGTACCTTCAGAAAGTATTCATACCCTTTCACTTGTTCCACATTTTGTTGTGTTACAGCCTGAATTCAAAATGGATTTTAAAAAAATTGTTCTTACCCATCTACACACAATACCCCATAAAGACAAAGTGAAAACATGTTTTATACATTTTTGCAAATTTATTGAAAATGAAATACAGATACATTTATTTTACATACAGTACCAGTCAAAAGTTTGGACACACCAACTCATTCCAGGGTTTTTCTTTATATTTACTATTTTCTACATTGTAGAATAATAGTGAAGACATCAAAACTATGAAATAACACATGGAATCATGTCGTAACCAAAAAAGTGTTAAACAAATTATAATATTTTTTAGATTCTTCAAAGTAGACATTAGACTGGTGGCAAAGGGTGGCTACTTTGAAGAATCTTAAACAAATCAAAATATATTTTATATTTAACACTTTTTTGGTTACTACATGATTCCATATGTGTTATTTTATGGTTTTGATGTCTTCACTATTATTCTACAATGTAGAAAATAGTACAAATAAAGAAAACCCTGGAATGAGTAGGTATGTACAAACTGTTTCCTGGAACTGTAAGTCTTCACACCCCTGAGTCAATACAAATCTCAAATGTTATCAATTTTAAATTCACAACAAAATGTGTGAAAAAGTATAAAGCTGTGAATACAAGTTATCTTTACTAAT